CAAAGCCTTGGTGATGGGGAATGTTTTCTTAGGGGGAAGAGAAAAATGATGTAAGCTCTGTGGAAGTTCTTGCATGGATGTATGGTCTTGAGAAGTTTGGAGAGTATTTTTCTGCAGTGCATGTTACTAAACGTTAATCTGCTGCTATTCATCTGCTGAGGTAGAATTGCTTTTTTAGATAGAGTGCATGCCGTGGAGACATGTCTGAGTGTTGCTGAGGATATTTCATTGGTAGTTTTCAGTGACTTAGGAAATACTCTCGTCTGCTGAACAACTTTAAAAGTTTGTATCACTGATTAAGATCTCTCGCAGCATTCTTGTTCTGCAGATGCTTAAATCTATCTCTCTCCATTTTGTTCCCATATAATCTTTTCTAACGTAAGGTTTTGAGTTATTTATTCTGATGTTTTTAATGCAGGCTTTCAGATTGTGCTCTGTAGTTGATTGGTAATACTGTGTGGTATAATTCTGCAAAATATAGAGTGACTTTTTTTTTTATATATACAGTGGTAAATACGAGCATCCTAAAGCTCCAGCAGACCTGTTGGCTTCATGAGAGGGTGCACTGTTAAATGGAGAGTGTGTCTCCTGATCAGTACGACAACATGGATTTTAAAGCTCAGTTCTTTCACTATCCTTGTTACAAACAAAGTGGGGTGCTAAGTCTCAACAAGACAGCATATGAAAGTTTTGTTGTTATTTGTTATCTTGCCATAAGTGGAGAATTGCAACTAGAATCCTGTATGGAAGAAGTATTTATCCACTTGAAATTTAGGACTTGATTACAAATTATGAAAGTCATGATTATTATTTAATACAGGTTTTGTCCGTTGCCTTCTTTTTCAGAGAGGTGGACAACTGATGGAACGTTCCCCTAGGAAGAATAAAACTGTTCTCACAAGGTAGTTTGCTCAGATTAGACTGAGCTCCACACAAGAAAGCTCTCAACCAACAGTGACTGGGAACGCTTGAGAACTCCTGAATGATTGGTTGAGGTAACTCAGGAAAAACGTTTCTCTAAAAAAAAAAAAAAAAAAAAAAAGGTGTGGTGCAGGGAGGATTTCTTACTACACAAAGCTGTTAACTGTTTGGGTTAATATTAGGAAATGCAAGATCATGACAGCTTGATACTGTGCCCTAAACCAGAGTTTCTTTATTGCCAACGGTCTATGATGAATCATTTGCAGTTGATAGGTCTGTGGTAGGCAAGTGGGCATAAGAGGGGAAAACAAGGAAAGAGAAGAAAAGGGGAAGGGAGTGCTGCTGTTGGATGTCACAATCTAACCACTCAACGGTAGGCTGTTTTCAGGGCATCAAAGGATGAGAAAGGGATAAAAAGAGCTACTGAATTCTTACAGGGCAGACCAAAATGCCAGTCATATTTAGAAGACTATGAAGGGATTGTGAAAATCTTGTATGTGAAAAAGTATATAGGGAATTCTGGAGCTGCTTAATTTTTTGTGTACATAAAGGAAGGATGGATAATGCTCTCTCTTTTTCAGTGGGGTGGTTTGTGGAATACCAGCTGCTGGGAAGAGGGAGAAAGAGAGAGTAACAGGAAAAAGAGAAGTGTTCAACTTTATCTCTTACAGATTGCATGGTGGTTGTAAGGAGTGTTTGAAGGGTGCAGAAGCACAGATGGGAAAGGTTGACAGCTGTATGTGCACATACAGTAAAACAAACATTATGTCCTTAAGGGAAGGAACAAAAAGTAGCGTGTTGTCCAAGGGCTGGTCTGAACTTGATAAATTGGTACCATTTTATCAGAATAGTTCGCCTGAAGAATGTTTCTCTTGTGGATGCAATTAAAACATTGATACTGTATGCTCATATAGATAACCACTCTGCAGAATAGGACAGTTGATAGAGGTAGCATTTATCAACCAAAAAAAAGCTGCATACAGAGGGATTTTACCCTTAAAATAACGGCTTTTAACCTGCTGCCTCCTTTATAGGCAACAGAACTGACAGCTGCTGAGACACGAAGGCTCAGATAGATGTGTTTGAGGGTGGTGCTGTCTCATGTTACACCGTTTACCTTCCCAGGGACTTTTCAGTGGTTATTGATAGTTAATTATTGTTACTTAAAACACCTATTTTTGCATTGCATTTTGTGAAGCTTTTGCAGCTTTTCACTTCTTTAAGATCTGGTCTGCTGTTTTTCTTCCCTCTTCTCTGTTTGTTTAGGCCTTGGAGAGAAAACGTTAAGACCTTAAATTTTGCCGTCAGTTCTGTTAAGCAGCTATGGAAACAGAAAAGGAGCACGTTTATGTTACCCCAACAGGTAAGTAATATATTCAGTATTTTTTTTACTTAAAATTGCTTCGCTGACCCAAAGTGTTCTCTGCAGAAAAATTGTATTACCTGTTAATTTTTCAGCAGTACTGATTTAAAAAAAAAAATCTTCATCGAAAATATACAGAATAGTTCTTTCAGTTGTATAGCATAGTGTCCCGCTTGATCACGTATACTTCGAAATTTGTTAAAATCATCAAGTTAACATTTCTTTAACTTATTAAAGAATAGTGTCTTTGGGCTCCTTATCATTTGACTTCCAGTAGCGGTGGTGTGAAGAAAAGAGTAAGCTCAAAAGTAAAATGTGTAGGTGCATTTGGGAGGTACAAATTCAGCTTTTATGTGACTCTTTACCTTAAAATTAGAGGAACCAAATGATGAAAGGCTTGACTGGAAGCGGGCTGGCATGGGAAAATTTTACCAAATATGGGTTAGAGACTGCCCTGAAGTTGACTGTTTTCTCCACATCATAAACATGTTTTGTGATGCTAGTCAGTTAACAGTTTCATGTTGTTTTCTATGGCTTCCAAAGGTTGTGATGATCTGCACTGACCTTTTTATACCGGAGTTTTTGTAGGTTTTAGATGTTTTTCCGAAAAAAATCATGTATATGTTAAGATGGTATGTAATGCAATTGAAGTTGCAACACACTCCATATGGCCTTTTATTTTATAGCAGAATTAGTTTAATGTAGAAAATACATTGCTTCTCAGCATTTTAGAAGTGTATTTGGATAATAGATGGGAAACTGTTAGATACATAAATTGATCTAATTTGGTAAAATGAAATTTGTATGTAGGTAAGTACTTGCTGGATGCTTAATTAATAAAGACAACACCATAAAAGCACAGTTTTGAAGTGTGCCTGCTAGGCTTAATAGCAGGGTAATAAGATCAATTTGGATAACTTTTTAATATATAGTAAACAAAGTCTTAAATTTTATGGAATGCTGGTCTTGGTTGTGTATGTGTATATTATATACAAGATCGGCATCATTTTATTGGTACTTCTTATAAAACTTTTATTTTAGAAGATTATTCAAAACTAGTATATATGTTTAACCTATTTTTTCAGCCTAACTAGGTAACTAATAGTGAAGGGCCAGTTGGTCATAGTATTATGGAGAAAGAGGTTGCAGCTGGAAGCGATAGCATTATATAAAAAAATAGTTTAGTAATGCAGTGAGGACTTTAAAGTCTTACAAGTTGGATGTTTCCTGTGGAAACATTAGGAAACATTTCCTTTAGTCTGGAACCTGAGATCAGGGTTGTGCAAGAAGGTTGGCCTGCAGCCTCCCCTTTTATCCTTAGTAGTCAGATTCGGAACTGACTTGTGTTTATTAATTCTTGGCTGTTTTCTTTGGAAACTGAGAAAGAAGTAAGTGGTCATTGGAAAGTGTAGTTCCTGGACAGCCAGACTGCAGGGCTACCTTGGGGAAACTCATGGGAGAGTGTGCATGAAGAAGAACTTAAATTCAGTTGTCTGATATGAGCTGGTTGTGCTGAGGGGGTTTCCCTGGGGAATGAGAGGAAGGAAACCTGTTCTGGTTGGTTTTGCTTTTTTTCCCCTCTGCTAGCTCTATGCAAATCTCTCATTGTTTTATTAAAATGTTAAGACAAACTGAGAAAGCTGCTTGTGGGGAATCTTTTCCTGGACGTGATGTGTGCTTTTCTTTTTTAGCTTGCTGCAAGCATAAAAGGAATGCTTTTGTGGGAGTAATGAGTGGAAAGATGAAGCTTAGACTGGAATGGCTGCATTATTTTTCAGCAAGCATTCACATCTACACCAGTATCTAAATGTTGTTGCTTTGATTGCAAAGGACACAGTTGCACCAAACTTTCTTACTTTTGTAGTGTAGTATCCTCTCAAACAATTTTTCATGAACCTGTTTTTAAATTGAAAAATTTTTAAATTTTTAAATTGAAAAATATAGTTCTGAGAAGTATTGCCAAATTAACATTGCTAATTAGAATGTGTTAGAATGGTAAAATAGGACATTCAGCTAAGTTCAAATACAAATTTAAAATGCTCTTCATATTCTGGGTTTATGGCAGTGAACTTTTTTGTAAAGCAGGCTTGTCACAGCTGGAAAAGCAGCTGCTTCTGTGTGGCTCGGCATTGTACTTGTTAGGGTTGGGGCTATAGGTTTTATCTTTGAGACTCTGCTGAATCCTCCAGAAATGAAGGACTGAGTAACAGAGCTGAGGCTCTTCCATTTGTGTGTGTGTGTGTTTCCCAATTTGCAAGGACTCCCAGGGTGTTAACTGCAATGTAAACAAGTCTCCAGGTGCTTTTTTATTTAGAGAGGGTAAGAAGGAGAAGAAGAACTTTTGCTCATAATGCTCTCAATAAGGCAGTCTGCTGAGCCATACAGCTCAGGTGGGAGGCATCCAAACTTTGTGAAATCGGACTTTAGATCCAGATTTTGAATGTGCATCAACTTCCCAAAAGATTGAAGTTACTGCGCTTCTCAGTTCTCAGAGACATTTACAGATCCTTAAGTTGCGAGAGTGTTTTTTGCTGGCTATAGAACAAAGGTAGTTACCTATTATGTATGATTGTGCTGGGGAATAAACCATGGCCATTTTAGAAACGGTCTTGACAGAAACTACAGTGAGGGGCAATCCTTAGAGAAGAGAGATCACACTGTTTTAAAAGACTTGATGTATTCAATGAGTCTTCATTACCGAACTCCCCAGGCCGTGTATTAAATGGCATTTTTTTCCCCATAACTTTAAAAACAAAACATTAAAGTAGGGATGTTTTTGTATTCCTGTAAATCTAAGTCATTGCTTTTCCAGCTACGTTTGAAATTTCTTGAATGAGTGGAATGTTGGTTGATGATTTAGGAAATTAGTTTCCCTTTGGTGACTAGTCTGTTAACATTAGTGAGTTCTTACAGAATTTACTGTATTGGCAGGGTTTTTTGTTTGTAAATCAAGAGATGAGTGGGTGGAGTGAGAATTAGGCACTTAGATCTTACGCACTGAGGAGTTCTGATAGTAGGGCGGGGTTTTCTGGTTTACCTGTTTATCAATGGTTTATTCATTTGCTTTCCAACTCTTGACGTATGCTCTGTTTAGATTATGGATAGTTTCTGCAGGGAAATAAGGAACTTATTACTGTGATGTGTGGACATACTTTAAAAACAACATCATTTGCCATAACACTTGGTAATAAGAGTTCTATTTAGTGTTGTAATCCTTTTTCAATGCAATGTGGTTTCGTATTCTAACACAAAAAGTGTTTAGAACTATAACAGATTTTTTTGCTCTGTCTCCTTTTTAAGAACTTGAGAATCTAAGTGATGCTCCATTTTCTGGTGAGGAAGAAAATGGTGGGTCTGAGGAACAAAAGACTGAAATCAATGGAAATTGGATTCCTGCAACTTCAATTACTGAAGCCAAAATAAATGCTAAAGCAAAGAGACGGCTGAGGAAAAATTCTTCTAGAGATTCTGGGAGAGGAGACTCTGTAAGTGACAATGGAGAGGCACTGAAGATTGGAGTTGTACCAACGAGCCCAAAAGGGAAACTCCTGGACAGGCGATCCCGATCTGGAAAGGGAAGAGGTCTACCAAAGAAAGGTTGGTGTAGCTTAGTGAAGAGAGTAGCATGATAAAGATTCTGTCCAAAACATAGTATTTTTTTTTCCATTGGGAATAATTTTCATAAACCACAGGCATTTGGTTCTTTATGTTAGGTAATAGGTGGCAATAGGAGCTAATAGCAGATGGCATTCTTACAGAAAATTTTTTATGTGTATCATCAGTGAACGTCTGTCTTTGAGGTAATTACCTTTTCTTAGCAAATGTAATACAGAAATTTGAACTGTTAGTAGTTCACAGAACTGTTATTAAAGCAAACTCTAAGCATGATTACATTTGAAAGTACAGTTTGAACCTTCAGTAAGTCTTGCACAGTTTCATAGTGCTTCCAGTATCTTACTGGAAAGTGATGAAAAGACTGGTTGCTAAATTGGGAACGCATCATACAAATTCACCCTTTTCAGCCTACATTGGTAGAGTCAGGAGGTGGGCACAAGCAGTGATATGTCACTCCTAAGTGAAAGAATGTTGGGTTGAACTCAAAGTATTCTATGTAAACTGGTGGTCCTTGCTTACTGTCTCATATTTTGCCAGGTGGAGCTGGTGGTAAAGGAGTTTGGGGAACACCGGGTCAAGTGTATGATGTGGAAGAAGTAGATATTAAGGATCCTAATTATGATGATGACCAGGTAGGCAAGTAATTTCTTTGCAGTGTTGTTTTTTATTTCCTTTATTAATTTCAATTGCTGCGAGGCTTACATTAATGAACGTTTGACCTTGTGAGTTATGTGAATGTCGGCCTGGCTGTACTAAATGCTCATTTTTATGTTCAAGAATGGATTATTGGCTCATTAAAGACAACTGGTGTAGAAGTGTCACAGTGCACCATTCACAGATCTTGTCCCACGAGCTCTCTTTCTGTGCCTGACTGGGCAGCACCCTTTTCCCAGGTGTGTTCTTTTGCTGCTGCTTCTCACAGAGGTGAATGTTGCAATGCTGCTCTATATTGCAAACAAGCACCATGTTAAAAATGCAACACAGACTTTTGCAAGTCAGGAGTTTAGCCCATGACAGTATCTTTTATGGATTTTTCTCTTCCCTGTATTCCCAACCCTCTGGCTGACTGGCTAGCATCTACTTGGTATAAACACTTCAAACTAGTGCAAAGTTGATAGCCTGGATATTTTGTTTGTATTTATTTATATAGGGTATGTTGTGGAAGACTGTACCTTACAGCCATATTAAAGGTGGGGGGGGAAGTAAAGCTTCCATACCCCCCCATTAAATCACTGAAAACTACCAGTGAAGTATCCTCAACATTAAATCACTGAGGAAAGGAAACACTGGTTACAAATACAGGTTACTGAAGGCTCTGAGATCAATACAATTGTGAGTCCTTAAGTAAATTGTGTATAACTTAAGTGGAGCATCTCCCTTATGTGGAATGGCTGAGGGAGCTGGGTCTCTTTAGTTTGCAGAAGAGGAGACTGAGGGGAGACCTCATTAATGTTTATAAATATATAAAGAGTGAGTGTCACGAGGATGGAGCCAGGCTCTTCTCGGTGACAAACAATGATAAGACAAGGGGTAACGGACACAAACTGGAACACAGGAGGTTCCACTTAAATTTGAGAAGAAACTTCTTCTCAGTGAGGGTGACAGAGCACTGGAACAGGCTGCCCAGAGAGGTTGTGGAGTCTCCTTCTCTGGAGACATTCAAAACCCGCCTGGACACCTTCCTGTGTAACCTCATCTAGGTGTTCCTGCTCCGGCAGGGGGATTGGACTGGATGATCTTTTGAGGTCCCTTCCAATCCCTAATGTTCTGTGATTCTGTGATAAGCAGAGTGGTGTCCTTTGAACAGAGGCTGTTTGTTGTCACCATAGCTGCTGAGAGGATGGTGTGTGGGAATATTGAAACTATCTTCCAGTATCAGTTTTTTCCATGCAATTGAACACTTCATGTTAGCAGAGATAGCTATTAATGATGATAATTATTAATTAATGTCCATAAAACCAAGTTTAATATTGAAGGAGTATTCTGTGGAACTTCTGTATGCTTAGCTTTTCTAAGGTTGAAAATGGAGACTGATGTAATGCAAGGATAAGCTTTTGGACTTCTTGATCATGGAAAGCTTCTTTTCAATAAGTGCTAGTTGGAAAACTTTGTTCAGATTTCTGTGATCTGTAGTATTTGCTCTGAATGTTACTTCTGTAGTCTGGGAGGAGCAGGGAGCTGAATTACAGCAGGGAAATCTGGTTGTGCTCGAGCTCCGCAGGACTAGGTTATACAGGAGGTTGTGTGATTCTTTTCTCTCCTTGGGGAATGTCTTCACTCACAAATACTCTGAAAATGCCTTTTCTCCAATTTGTACGTGCTGTCGCCTATCTGGTCACGCAGTCACTAAGGAAGAGGGAAAACAGTCAGGCTTGCTGTCAGGGATTGGAGTGCCACTTGCAGGGAGAGATGCTGAAGGTTAAATCTTATACTGTGGCACAGCTAATTCTGCTGGGGTGGGACAGGAGTTTCTGGTGCTCTCCCTTCAGTACACACTACATTGGTACTTGATCGCTGCATTCCTGTGGTGTCAGCAGAATCCTAGGAAGAGCTGGGAGCGTTTATCATAGTTTAGCAGTAAATTCAGCCTTTCAGTTGAATTCAGATCACAGTAAATACAAAATGTCAGCAGCATGACATTTAGCCAGCATTGGCCACACTTTATTGGTAGAGACATCATCTGATGTTTTCTGGCAGAATACTGACTACCAAGACTAAAGTGTTAAGGATTTAGAAGATGTATTTTAATGCTATTAGCACTGCATAAGATGTAATGACACAGCACTGTTTACAGAAGGGTGTGTGCTTTTGTTGTATTTTGAAATAGGAGAACTGCGTCTATGAAACAGTAGTTTTACCTCTGGATGAAAAAGCATTTGAAAAAACTTTAACACCAATCATACAGGAATATTTTGAACATGGAGATACTAACGAAGTTTCGGTATGGCAGATACCTTTTTACTTATTTTAGGGGGCAAATCTGTAGCATACAAGGGAATTCAACTGCTGGCTATAAATGTGCATATAGATATGTTGACAAGAAATGTGCAATAAGAATACCTAAGCAGTTATATTCATGACATGAGCAGAAGCATATATGTAAATAAAAGCATATATAAATATTT